TGTCTGGTCTGGAACTTTTTTTGTTGGAATATTTTTTATTGCTGCTACAATTTGGGTGCTTGATATCAGTCTGAGGAGTTCCATAACTTCCTGATTGAGCATAGGGAGGTCCTGTGTTTCTAAAAATTTGACCATTTCCTCTATGTTTTTACATTTGTGAGCATAGAGATGTTATCATATTCTGAGATAAAATTTTGTATATCTATGATATCAGTGGTGGTTTCCCCTTTTCAGTTTTAACTGAGCTCATTAAAGCTCTTTCTCTTCTGTTTCTGATTAATGTAGCTAGAAGCTTGTTGATTTTGCTTATCTTTTCAAAGAACTAAGCTTATGCTTCATTAATCTTCTGGATAGTTCCATTTCTAATCACTTTCCACTTATCTTTTCAAAGAACAAGCTTTTTTGCTTCATTAATATTATGGATCAAAATGGATCATTCTTTTGTTCGCAATTTCATTTAGTTCTGCTCTAATCTTGATTATTGCTTTTATTCTGTTGGGATTGAGATTGGTTTGTTCTTCCTTCCTTCTGTTTCTGATTAATGTAGCTAGAGGCTTGTTGATTTTGCTTATCTTTTCAAAGAACTAAGCTTATGCTTCATTAATCTTCTGGATAGTTCCATTTCTAATCACTTTCACTTATCTTTTCAAAGAACAAGCTTTTTGCTTAATTAATATTATGGATCAAAATGGATCATTCTTTTGTTTGCAATTTCATTTAGTTCTGATCTAATCTTGATCATTGCTTTTATTCTGTTGGGATTGAGATTGGTTTGTTCTTCCTTTTATAATTCCTTGAGATGATTAACTATCGATTTGTTATCTTTTCAATGTGGGCATTTAAGATTATGAGCTTTCTTCTCAGGACAGCTTTTGCTGTATCCCATATATTTTTTAGAACCTGTGCCCCCATTGTCATTTAGTGCAAGGAATCTTTTGATTTCCATCTATAGCTCCTCATTGACCCACCTATCATTCAGTAACAGGTTGCTTAGTTTCTATGATTTTGTGTAGGGATGAGTGTTTCTGCTGGAATTGATTTCTAGTTTTATTCCACTGTGATCTGAGAAGACACATGGTTAAAATTTCTATTTTCTTTAATTGTTGACACACGTCTTGTGACCTAGGTTGTGATCAATCTTAAGAGAATGTTCCATAAGCTAATGAGAAGACTGCATATTCAGTAGCTTAGAGGTAGAATGTTCTGTGAATTTCTGTTAGGCCCTTTTATTCTACAGTTCTGTTTAAGTCTCTTGTTTCTTTGACTGTTTTCTGTTTGGAGGGTATGTCCTGTTCTATGAGTAGGGTGTTGATGTCCCTATCAATTACGGTGCTGCTCTTCATCATTTTTTTAAACTGTGTAGAATTTGGTTTACAAATCTGGGCATGCATAAATATTTAGAATTATTAAGTCTTCTTGTTGAATTGTTCCCCTTACCATTGTATAGAGAACATCTTCGTCTTTCTTTACTTTTGTTAATTTAAATTCAACATCATCTGACATGATAATGGCTACACTGGCTTTCTTTTGGTTTCCATTTGCATGTAATATTGTCTTCCACCCTTTCACCTTGACTCTAAGTGAATCTTTGTGAGTTAGATGTGTTTCCTAGAGACAAGAGATAATTGGCTTCTTTTTTTTTTTTTTTATTATCCCTTCAGCCAGCCTATGTCCCTTCATTGGAGAGTTCAACCCATTTACATTTCTTAAAAGTATTGATATGTGTGGTGGATTCCTATTCATCTGGCTGGGTAGACCTTTATTACTTTGTTTTTACCTTTTGAGCCATTGTGGTGTCTGCACTCTGAACTTTAGATTTTGGATGATTTTGCACTGGAGGGCATCTGTTATACTGATCATTATATAATGCATGTCTGAGTACTTCCTGCAAGGCAGGTCTGGTCTTCACAAATTCCTTCAGTGATTACTTGTCTAAGAATATCCTTATTTTTCCATTGCGCAATAAACTTAGTTATGCATAATGCAAGATTCCAGGTTGGCCATTATTTTGTTTCGAATGCTGAGTATGAGTCCCCACTCCCTTCTGGCTTGTAGGGTTTCAGTGAAGAATTCATCAGTTAGTCTGATTAATTTTTCTTTGTAAGTTACCTCCTCTTTCCATCCTTACTTCTCACAGAAATGCCTCTTTGATGTTTACTTTGGCCAGCCTGATGATTATGTATCATGGTGATTGCCTCTTTATGATGAATCTTCCAGGAGTCCTGTAGGGTCCTTATACCTGAATATCTAGATTTCTAGCAACCCTGGGAAATTTTCCGGAATAACTTCCTAAAATAAAGTATCCATCCCTTGTGAATTTTCTCCTTTGCCCTCAATGATACCTATGATTCTTATAGCAGTCTTCTTACATAGTCCCACATTTCCTGCAGGCTTTGTTCTTTTTTCTCCTTTCTTTCCATCTGACTTTCACAAAGGCATGATCTCCAGGGTTTTAGATTCTTCTTCTACCTTATTAAGTCTGTTATTAAGGCTTTTCACTGTGCTTTGTAATTCCTTGAATGAATTTTTCATTTCCAGGAGTTCTATTTTTTTTTTCTTTAGTATCTCTCTCTCTCTCTCTCTCTCTCTCTCTCTCTCTTTTTTTTTTTTTAGTAATTTCCTGTGCAGTCTCTTTGTTGGCTTTCCATTTTCAATTGTACTTACTTACATCTCATGTTTAAAATTCTTCATCCGTCCTTTTAATCTTTTTATTTATGTTGGTGTACTTTGTTAGGGGTTATTATTCTCCTTAGGGGGTGACCTATCACTTTGATTTTTCATTTTTTTTCTGAGTTTTTCTTCTGGTTCCTTTTCATCTGGCCTCTTTACTGAAAGACAAGGGTGCTGGGTTTGGCTTATGGTCTTGTCTCTGAGACCCTGAAGAATGGTCCCCAAATGAAGGAGAAGAGTATCAGTCCTAAGTTGCCTATGGGCTGCTCTAGCAAGTTTAATGAACCTCTTAGGTTATGACTTGCTGTATTCACCTCTTCCTGACAGAGTGTAGAGAATTAGGTCCCCAGCTTACTCTCAATGTAAGATGGTGGGTGGTACTCATGGGTGTGAGTTAACCACACCCTGTTTACTTGAATTGGACAGTACTTTGAAGGGCTATGTTACTCTTCTCCCAGTTACTGATTAATATTTGTATGAGTGAGCCAGACGCCAAGATATTCTTTTGTGACCATGGTAGACTCTGGTTTTCCAGGTGGAGTACAACAATGCCCCAAACTTTAGGAGGAATCCTGTAATTCCCAGAGGCCTTCTTGATCTCCACTACCACCAAAGTGGGATGAGGGACAAGGCAGTTCATTGTTAGGTTTAGTGACCCTTCCTGTCAGTGGCACCCTTTTCTCTGGGTTAAAGGTCTCTCCAGGGATGTCCTCTATCAATTTGTTGCTAATTCTCCTTCTACTCTGCATCTTCTTCCCATGGTATTTATTGTAGGTTATGGTATAATTCCATAGCACTTACACTTATTCTATGATTGTTTGTCAGTTTCTTCATAATTTAAATCTCCTTTTTATGAGATAATCTGGCAGCTGATGTCTCTTGTCAGCCATCTTTAATCATCCATGTTCCATAAAATATATATAAAGTACCAATAAACATATACAATGTGCAGATCCTACTAGATAAGCAAGCAATAGTACACATAGAGTTTCAAGAAAAAGGTAAAGTGCTCACTGGGAATTTAAAAAAAGGAAACTGAAATAACTTATACAGATCAAAACCTGTTAATGTAACAAAAATAAATGATAAACACCATGGTTAGTGAGGTAGTAAAAAAGAAATAATGTATATTTTATATTTTATTGGTATTTAACTATAACTTAATTATAATTTCTAAGGAATAACCTGGGAGTATATAACAGCAGCTACAAAGCTGCTTATATTATTATCCAGAATTCCTTTTTTGAGAATTTACAAGAAAATAGTGGTCAATACATAGGCTTTCATAGAAGAATAAAAATTTTGGAAACAATTCAACCACCAATAAGGGAAAAATTAATTTGATGAAATACTATATAGCTATTTTTGTATGTAGAAATGCATACATGAAAGAATAAGTGAAAATAGAACAGAAGTTATATATACATATTAAATATGACTATGAAAGTATCTCTATGTGTACTAATAGACTAGAAAATAATTAGCATTATATAAGGATTTCAGTTTAATATTTAGTAAGTTCTTATAGTCACAAAGTTGATTAACCTCATAATTAAAAAAATAAAAGATTATGGAACTGACAATCAAATATTGAATATTTGAAGTTAGGCAAAGAATTCTGTTAAATCTCTCTCTCTCTCTCTCTCTCTATATATATATATATATTCACACACACACACACACACACACACACACACAGAGTAAAGAAATACCCCTTTACCTCCTTTTCCTTTGTAGAATTATGGTTGTCATTTGATGTATACTTAAAACAATTTTGTTATTGTAAAACTACTGCACTAATAGAATTTTGAAAAATCACTGATTTGACTCATAAATCATAAACTGTTGCCTCATCTATCAGGCCCCTCCTGACTTCCTTGGGCAAATCTATCCTGTTTCTCCTGTACTTTGTACATAATACCATTGTTATAGCATTTATAAGATTGCACTCTAATTATTTGGCTGCATGTATGTTTCCCACAGCATATAGCCCAGTATCTGGTACTAATATGTAAGGAATAAGTGCTTAAAAATGAAGGAAGGAAAGAAATGAAACTTTGTTGGAAATGATATTTAAGCACAGGCTTGGAATAAATATAAAATGTTGCCTCATAGTCATACCCTATATACTCAAAGAGTTCATAAAACATGCCTAAAATTATCAGCCTGTTCAAAATATACAGGGTTAGAAAGTTGGATTCGAGACTCTGAAATTCCTTTTCAGATCCAGTTTAACAAAACAGTATAGCAGAACAAGGAAAATACAAAAGGCAGAAATCAGTCTCCATTAAATAATCCTTTGATTCTAGTAGGTTGGCCCATTTCCTTACCTAGGCAGGAATAAATGTGGCTGAGAATACGAGCTGGTTGTACTCTGATGGGATATACCTCAGCAACAGTCTCCACATTAATTCCCTTGTCCTTCAAAATGGCCTTTATTTCTTCAGTTTCAGCTAGAATGGAGACTAAAGGAAAGACAGAAGACGAGGTCAACAGAAAAGTTCATCTCAAGAGGAACCTAAAAATTTCTCAAGCCACATAATTTCTTTTGAAGGGCAAAAAGAGAAAGCAGAGGAAATTAATAGTTATTGAGGAACTTAGATGAAATAGTTTTCATGCTAGGTACTTAACAAAATTTTCTAAATGGAAAGGACAAAGATCTCATGATTAAAGTATTAGATTGTGCTTTTTGGCTAAGTACCAACATACTTCTTAAGAATGCCACATTCTTTTGGTATGTGTAAATGGGAAAACATTTATCATCAGGTTTATTATAGCTTTGATAAAATTGAGTCCCTAGTCTTTCATATCAGTACAATTTAGGTCAGCACCAGAAATGTGAAGGTAATAAAGAACACCCTAATGATAAAAGTTAACCTATAGCTACACAATGGTAGAAGGCAGGGTGAATTGGGGAAAAGACTTGAGTCATCAACATACAGAAAGTATTATAGTTGAAACCGTATGTTTTTGGGTGGGGAATAAGTAGCAAGATATAGAGATGATACTTTTCTGGACTCACAGCTTGCCCAGCCTAGATAGTTCTATTTTCTTCCCACTTTTCCCCACTCTATGGGACAAATACCTGGTTGGGGGTCAGTAACCCAAGTGAGGCTTTGGCTAACTAGACACTAAGCACCAGAGGCAAACATGCCCTCTACTCCTGCTCCTGTAGTCCTTGTAGATGTACTGGATTGTCCACAGGGAAAAGAATATACCATGTGACTCATTCCAGGTCACCAATATATTCTGTTAAGGTTTGGGGGGCAATGCTTAGTTAACAAATTGCTACTTTGCTTTCCTTTGTCATTACCCTTTGTATATTTTTCCATCTTGGGAGCTTCAATGATAGATTGCTATGATCTGGGCAGGATATGGTGATTACATAGTACCCTGCACATTAGATTACTTCTGAGACAACAAACACATAACATATAACACTTGATTACTTCTGAGAAAACAAAAATGAAAGAGATTCTTCAGGGAAAACATACAGAGAACGAATGATAGTTGCCTGAGAATAGTCCAGGGAAACACATGTGGTTATTCACACATTCATTCATAAATATTTCTTAAGCACTTAAATAAAGTATTGTGCTAGGCACTAAAGATAATAATAAAAAATAAATTAGTCTGTCTCACAAGAAGCTCACATTGTAAAAGAAGTGTAATACATGAACTGATTATAAAACAACCTGCTAGGTAAGTAGAGATATGCATAAAATATTAAAAGACCACTGAGGAGTGACACCTATCTGGTGTTAGATTGGGAAGGATGGCTTTAGAAAAGGCTTCTTAAAAGAATTGATGCCTAAACTTGAGTTTAAAATAATGAATAAATTAGCCAGAAGAAAGAAAATAGCCATTCTAGGTAAAGGGTCCAAAATGAGATGAAAAAGAGTATAACTATACTATGTATATGGGGGGAGATAGTGAAGAGAACCACATACACTTCAATATTACTATAGCATGAAGCATCTTGCAAAGTGTTCAAAGAAATGAATTGGGAAAGGAAGACAGGGGATAGGTCATCAAGTTGGGCATATGTGGATTTTGTTTTGTATTGTATCCTTGGGCAATGCTTTTCAAACTGCATTCTTCTAAGCCGATGTAGTTAGTAGTAAGAGTACAAGAGACTTCAGAAGAGTCAAGTTAAACAACACTCCGGTTCCCAAGGAATACTTTCAACCTAAGCAACGTAGTTTTTTGTTTGTATTTTATGAAATATTTAGAATATTATTATTTAGTGCCTTTTATGTTCTAGGCACTGCCAAATGGTATGGATTAATAAATAGGCATGGTCCATACATGGAGAAAATGACAGTGATACTGAGTTTTGTTGGAAGGCTGAGTAAGAGTTAATCTGGGGGGGTGGACAAGATGGCTAACTGGAGCCAGCTTTTGAAAGAAGTTCCAGTCCAGAGGGAATAATAATGACCAGAAAGTACCCAATTAAGCTGAAGACTAGGAGCTGAGTCGAGAGAGAACAGTGATAAGTGCAGGTCACCTCGGCTGAGGTAAGCTGTGACTCTAAGAAAGCAAACTCCAGCTGAGACTTCAAACCCGAGTTACTGATCCACTAGGATTGGACAAGGACCAGCTGAATACAAGACAGAGCCACCTAACCCCACCACACAAAGCAGTTCTCCTCAGCCTCAGACTGTAATACTGTATGGGTCCTTTGCAAAGCTATAAGGGAAAAAGCTCCAGTCATGAGTCCCAGATCCTTGACAAAGGGCTGGTTAACCACAAATCCAGGAGCTCCCACTCCAATTTCACCTTACCTATCCAGCTAGCCAACCAGTGAAAAACAATCATGAGGAGGAATCAGTGGAAAAACTCTGGCAACATGAATAATCAGAATAGATCAACTTCCCCAAGAAATGACATGGCAGACACACCACAAGATCCCATTCATAAACAAATTGCTGAGATGTCAGAAATCGAGTTCATAATTTAGATACCAAAAAAGATCAACAGAATGGAGGTAAAGATGGAATTAGAATTTCAAGGAATAATTCAAAAGATGTCTCAAGAATTTAACAAATTCAAAGACAAAATCACAAAGATGTTGACACAGTGAGGCAAGAACTTGTAGCCCTCAAAGATCTGAGAAACACAGTAGAAGCCTTCAGTAACAGAATGGAGCAGGCAGAAGAAATGATTTCTGATATTGAACACAAAACATTTGAATGCTCCCTAACACTCAAAGAGGAAGAGAAATGGAGAGATAAATGGATCATTCTCTCAGAGAGACCTGGGATAATTCAAAGAGATCTAATCCAACAGACATGAGCAATTTGGTTATAGGAATTCTTGAAGGTGACGAGGTTGCTTCAAAAGGCCCAGATGCTCTACCTCATGAAATAATCAAGGAGAACTTCCCAGACATGCCAAGAGATTCTGAAATTCAGACACCAGACAGTTTCAGAACCCCAGCACAACACAACCCAAATACAAATTCTCATAGACACATTATAACTAGCTTTCCAAAGTTAAAATGAAGGAGAAAATTCTGCAAACAGCCACATGTAACAAAACCTACAAGAGGAAGAATATTAGAATGAACACAGATCTCTCTGCTAAAACCTTTCAAGCTAGAAGAGGGTGGACATGAACCTTTAATCTCCTTAAATAAAATCGCTTTCAACCCATTTCTGATAGAGACATTAAATACTTTAATGATATGCACATGTTGGAGAAATTTGCTATAAATAAACCAGGTCTCCAGGACGTTCGGAGACCTATCCTCCATAAGGAACAATACTCCACTACCAAAGTAAACTCACTCAGAAACTTTGATCAAACTCCAACTTCCACAGTGGCAAAAGGATTAAAAATGTCCACTGGACCTTTGAAAAACTTGATACCCCAAATACTACCAGATTTATCAATACTCTTAATTAACGTGAATGGCTTAAATTGCCCTCTAGAGAGGCACAGGTTGGCTGACTGGATACAAAAACCCAGGCCAGGCATCTACTGCATACAAGAATCTCATCATGGTCATCTATAATTCAGGCAAATGGAAATCAGAAAAAAAGCAGGTGTTGCAATTTTATTTGCAGACACAATAGGCTTTAAACCAACAAAAGTAAGGAAAGATGGTCAATTCATATTTGTTAAGGGGAACACTCAACATGATGAGATTTTCAATTATTAACATTTATGCACCTAACCTGAATGAACCTCTATTTATAAGAGAGACTCCAACAGACATGAGCAATTTGGTTATAGTCTCCAGCACCATAATAGTTGGAGACTTTATACCCCTTTGGCAGTGCTGGATAGATCCTCCAAAAAGAAAATAAGCAAAGAAATTTTAGACTTAAATTTAACCATTTGACAACTGGATTTAACAGACATCTACTGAACATTCCATCCTAACAATTTTTTTTAATTTTGCAGTTTTTGGCTGGGGCCAGGATTGACTCCGCTACCTACGGTATATGAGGCCAGTGCCCCACTCCTTAGTGCCACAGGTGCCACCAGAAATTTTTTTCACCTGGAGCCATGTTTGAACCCACCACCTCCAGTATCTCGGGCCAGTGCCATACTCCTTTAGCCACAGGGGCAGCTCCATCCTAGAAAAACTAAATAAATGTTCTTCTCATCAGCCCATGTATCATCATCCAAAATTGACCACAACTTAGGTCACAAGTCTAACCTCAGCAAATTTAAAATAATAGAATTCATTCTATGTGTTTTCTCGGACCACCATGGAATAAAAGTTGAACTCAGTAACAACAGGAATCCACATATTCATAGAAAAACATGGATACTAAATAACCTCATGCTGAATAATAGGTGGGTCAAAGATGAGATTAAGAAGGAAATTTCCAAATTTTTGGAACAAAACAATAATGAAGACACAAATTACCAGAACCTGTGGGATACTGCAAAGGTAGTCCTAAGGGGGAAATTTGTAGTGTTGCAAGTCTTTCTCAAAGAAGGGAAAGAGAAGGAGTCAACAACTTAATGGGACATTTCAAGCAACAGGAGAAGGAAGAACATTCCAACCCTAAACCTAGCAGAAGAAAATAAATAACTAAAATTAGAGCCGAACTAAATGAAATTGAAAAAAAAAGAATCATACAACAGATCAATCAATCAAAAAGTTGGTTTTTTGAAAAGGTCAATAAAATAGATAAACCTCTGGGTAACCTAACCAGAAGAAGAAGAGTAAAATCTCTAATTTCATCAATCAGAAATGATAAAGGCCAAACAACAGACTCCTCAGAAATTCAACAAATCCTTAATGAATATTACATAAAACTCTATTCTCAGAAGTATGGAAATCTGAAGCAAATACATCAATACTTGGAAATACGCCACCTTCCTAGACTTAGCCAGAAAGAAGTGGAAATGTTAAACAAGCCTATATCAAGTTCTAAAATAGCATCGACTATAAGAACTCTCACAAAAAAGAAAAGTGCAGAACCAAATGGCTTCACATCAGAATTCT